AAAATAGCAATTTTCATATTTCCCCATTGACTTAAAAGGGTTTAACGTGTTAGTTCCTTGTATCTGAGAATTTTTAGGATTTCATCTTGTTCTCCACTCAATTCTGCGTAAGATGCCGGGTTCCGTGTCGACAAAGCTTGAGCGTAACGGATCATCATCATCATCATCATATATTTTTGGCGGCACATGGGAAGTAAGTAAGAAAAAGAAAACATTAGAAATCAGTGACACAAAGGATCGGTGCAGAAGCCTACCGGCTTAAATTAAAGCACCTTTCCTAAAAAAAGGCGAATGAAACTGAAGTCATGCTTGAACAAAACATACAGTACATACAACAGAAGAGAAAGAACACCACCGGATGTGTTAATGATGGATGTTATAGCTGATGCAAATTATTACTTTTTGTTGTGCCACTGGCTGGTCTGGGGACAATTTAATCGTTGAACCGTCTTGTGCTGTAAAGGAATTTTTGGAGCTCAGAGGCAACTCTGAGGCCGCTGCCGGTGTCGAGGTCGCTACCATACAGTACAGGGTGTCCCAGAATTACCCGGACATTTATTTTCTGGCTAAAAGTACGACTGCGCTCGCTTCTAATGATATACCAGCATCATACTTTTATAAGATATCCCTTAGCTATCGAGATTGGGGACTGTGTGCTTTTGGTGGCCGGTAACGACTCAAATCAATTATTATCCAGAGTCAAGTACGTGTAGTCCTTTTCCGTTTTCAGCTTAAGCCACTAATAGGCAACCATGATGAATCAACTCCCGTTCTCAACTTTGTAAACGAACTTTCGGCATGGTTTTTGCTGGAGAGCTTCAGCAGCTCATCTGCAAGCAGTTAGGATTGAGCAAAGCGCAATTATATCAGCTAACGAAGCCAGAGAGAGCAAGAGATAAACCGGATTGACAAGCTTGGGCTCGGCCAAAAAGGGCCATGCACCAGTTGTCAAACAAGTGGTTGCTTGTCATAGACAACAAACGCCACCGATCTAGCTAAAAACTAGCTAAACAATAGATCAGGATTATCTTCAAAACATCAGTCTACTTTGCACCACTATCTTCGACAAAATTTTGGAATTTGGGGTCCTTCGCCTGAAAAATATGCGAAAACTACGGAAAAGGCAGCGCAAATCACTACAATTCATCCCAAAAACATAAAATATACAACAAAACAGTATATTGAGGCACACTTTGTGGTCTAACGAAGGTATTATGTCATTTGAACCGCCCGAAAAAGGCTTGTGTGAACGTCAGATGGCTACAACGCCCCAACAGCAGAGACGGCCAGGCACCCGTCGAAAATCAAATTGTGAGACATTTTGAGCCACCGTGCACTCATTGGGCTTGATATGATGGCCCAAAGACAACCGTTAGCACAGGGTACTACTGCGGTAATATTCTACCAGCGCGAAAACTGGATGCCGTGAACCAAATGGCCATGAACGGGTTTGTTTTGGAAACCAAATCTGTTGGAAGCCAAAGGTTGCGCAATGTTCAGACATGGAGCTTCTCCACTCCAGATGTAGGTAAAAAACGCAGCAAAAGTGGCGTAGGCAGAAATTTTTGTTTTGGGGGATAATACTTTATGGCCTGGGAACACTTTGATGTCAAGTTTATCTTATATGATCGTATTATCCTCCGGCAAGAGGTCAAAGAAAACAGGCCTACACCCAGTTTCGGGAGACCCGTAAAACAACTGAGACCAGCAATGGCTGGCATTTTCCATCATTGTCGGCTGATCTTGTAACAAGCGTATCTATTGCATGTGTTATTTCACAGCCACCCTAGTTGACTATATAGGACGGTAAAAAGAAAAAAGCGCAATCATGTTTGCCTTATTTTATACGCTAATTAACAATGTCCGGGTAATTATGGGACACCCTGTAGTGTCTAACTCTGTTCGATGGTCTAGTGTTGTGATTTCGTGTCCTAGAATGGTTGATATGATTGTGAATAGCTGTGTTCGGCGTTGTTGGTAGAGTGGGGATCTAAGTATGAAGTATGGTGTATCTTCTGAGTGATAGCCGCAAGCGCAGTGGGGAGTGGGACATTTTTGGATTTTATATTTGTGAGCGTTTAGGATGGACATATTGAGGCGTAGTTGGGTGTGTAAGCGATTGCCTTCGCGGCTTCCGAAGGAGATATATGGAGGTGGTTTTTCAGTGCCGAGGTGTTGCTCGAGAGCTGCTTTAAATGATTTAAGGGTAGGAAGAGAACGAATCAATTCGGGAAGGTTGTTCCATAGTCTGGTGGAGTCTGGGATGAAGGATCTTTTGAAGGATAGGGTTCGATGAATTGGTAATGTATGAGTGTTTGAGTTGCGTAATGTCCGATTTGTTGCATTTTGTCTAAGGTCGGCAAGCTGTTGATCGGTCTCTCCCATGCGCGCCACAGTCTCCCGGATGGCATCATTAGAACGCTCGTGACAGCACTCGTTATCTCACGCATCCAGTACTGCCTCTCAGTTTATGGTAATGGGTCCCAAAAAAAATTCGATCGTCTCCAAAAAAAAAAAATGAACTTCGCTGCTAGAGTCATTTTCGGTCGCCGTAAATTTGCCCATGTCTCTGACCTGCGAAAAAAAGCTCTGGTGGTTGTCCCCGCGTCACATGGCTGATTACCAAACCCTTGTTATCGCCCACAAAGCCATTTAGCGCGGCGAACCCGAGGAATTGGCAACCATGTTCGTCACAAACAGCGCTGTCCGGGAGAGACACTCCAGGCAAGACCACCTCTTTCACCTTCCGCGACCACGGCTGGAAACGGGTAGGCGGCGGTTCGGCTATCGAGCCGCAGCTCTACTCAACAGTCTCCCAACTCAGCTGTCGCAGCTGGGGCATTCCACGTCAAATCAAACACCGAAATCCGTCATCCCCTTCGATTTTTCTGAAAATTTGTAGGCAGACTGGGCATGGTTCAAAACTGAGTTACGTATAATATTTTCAAAATTTGATAACGTATCGCTGAGATATAGGTCATCGAATATAGCGAAAAATGCCACACATCAATTTTTTAAATGGCTATAACTCTGGTTCCTTTTCTGGTATCAAAATGATATTAACAGGGTCTTATAGGCAATTGATAAGGCTTTGATTTTTAATTATAAAATTAAATTGAAGTGACCTTGAAATGCATTTGACCTTGAATTAAAACAGAAAAATTTAAATAGCAAAAAACACGTCACCTTCGATTTGGGTAATTTTTACATATTATGTCCGTCACAATGTTCCTAACCATCTGTGAAAAAATTGGAGTGGGCCATTCATAACTTTCGCGGCAAACGCCGTTTTCATGCATCAACATCACGCAACCGCGCGTGACCTTGAAAGACAGAGTCAAGACATGCTTGCTTGTGTACACTTTCTGAAATGAATGATTGCTGATTAGTGATATCCCAAACTCTGCGAGAATGGAAATGCATAGTCATCGTAGTCAAGCATTCACGTTCCATAGTAAAAGTGTCTCAGGCAAACGGTATTTTGCGGTGAATTTTGAGCCGTGTAAAATGCATCATGAAGTAAATTCAACGAAAACATTATCACGCTACGATATTTTCACGTCTTTTGATCTCCACTATACGAAAGAACATACATTTTTTAGTATGTATGGGGAATTTCTAGTTAATCCAATAATAAATATGGCAGTTAGAGGCCTGCTAAGAGTAACATGTCGCCGGCTGAGGCGGGCTCGGCCGATGCGGGAAACGCAGCAATCACAATTTTGTGTTTACACGTTCATATTTCAATTGTTTACCAACCGATTTTCAAAATTATTTCACCATAAGATTGCCTGTACATTTCTTAGTCTTCTCACAAAATTTGACGCGAATCGAACGTAATCAGCGGTAGGGAGCGCGATGTAAAGACGGAACCGTTCCGTTCCGTCCCGGCACAGTCTACAATTCAGGCGGCGCGTAGCGGTCGGCGCCGGCTGCCGAGCCGCCGCGTTGCTGCGGCGACAGGATGTTCACTTTACACCGCTATTACTAGAACAGTTGTGAACCGATTTTCTTATTGCTTGCACGATGAGATGCCCAATTCAATTCTTGACAGGTAGCCATAATTAATTTCGCATTAATCTTATGAGATATTGGCGAAAAACAGGAGGGGTGGGCGAAATTCGTTCTTCCCCCTCCACTGCGCGTGCTAACATACGTTTGCATTTGTGCAATTTTCTTCAAAACTTATGAATGGCCCACTCTAATTTTTTCACAGGTTGTTAAGAATATAGTAGGCAATAAAATATATGAAAATGAGCCAAATCGAAGGTGACGTGTTTTTTGCTATTTCAATATTTGTGCTTAAGAACAGAGTTAAGCAAATTTCAAGGTCATATATTTAAGTTAGTGCAATTCTAAACAAATGCTTAAGAAATTACCTAAACAGTAAGGTTTATTCCATTCAAATCAAACAAGTACAACCAAAGTTATGGTCGTTCAAAAATATAAAGATGCAACATTTTGTAAAAAATTTGATGCCCTATATTTAGAAGACCTGTGGTCAGAATGTGCAAAAAACATCAATGTAATGTCCGGGGCCACACAGGAACTCGCTCACAAATTTATAATGAAATCGCTGATGGTAAGGTGCAAAACAGCCGATTTTTGTTCGATTTGACGTGGAATGCCCCAGCTGTCTCCCGCCCCCTTTGCCCGATCTGTTAAAGTCGTGATAGTGGACAGGGCATCAACTGATCGTCGCTGACCAACGGGTTGGTGGGTGGGTGAGTTGTACCTGTGGTACTACGAAAGTGTCTCTGTCCGTGCTTTGACGTGAGTGAATGTGTGAATGCTGTGAATGTTCAGATTAGTAACCGCACGCACAGTAATCGCCACGCACTTTCTGAATGTGGATCGCTCATGATTGTTAAATACAAAATACAAATACAAGCATAGTACAAATACAAGCATAGTCGTTATGTAGGTGGACATTGTTTCTTGTTCGTGTAAGAGCTTTCTATAGAATTTGAGTTTGTGTTTGGTACGTCTGGTCTTGAGCAGTGCTGCCAGATGGTCAGGTAGAAAATCCTCCAGCGTCCGCGCTGAAATCCTCCAGATTCCTCCAGATTCTATAGTCGATCCACCGGTAACTTACCGAACATAAAAATCAGACCGTCATTAACACGGGGCATTAATACAGATGCATTCCAATTCTCTTAATCATATATCACACTAGCAATGCTCTTTCGCAGCCATCGAACTGTCGTTACAAAATGTCAGACTGAACCATGGGTGCGCATAGGCGCATATATTTACCATACCTACTTATAGCTCACAGACCCTCTGGCCACTCACAGGAATAAATAACATCGCTGCGGAAGGCTGCCAGCATCCGGTCAGAAACCTCGTAAGTCACACATGACTGACGGAAGTTGGCTAGGTATGATCGCACAGTCAATATCGCCTCAAGCATGTCAATGCCCATCGCATTTCGCTGTTTGCACTTAACTACATTCATAACAGAAAACAGACGCTCCACCGATGCATTTGAGACAGGCGTGCTCAAAATTGCCATCGCCAAATCAGACACGTGCTGGTATTTCTTTTCACCATTGGCCATGCATATTTCACTCATGTCTGCCCAAAACTGCTCGCGATCCTGGCCCGCGCCATCCTGGGTCAGCTCGTCGCGGTGCAGTGCGACCCACTCCCTCTCAACCTCATCTGGATCTCCCGATATCGTTGAAAATCTGGCAGCGATACCCGAGATGGAACGCCTCGGTCCAGCATCGGGTCCCACCGACAGTCGGGTCAAATCGGACAGCATTGCCACGTTGTCCGGAAGCCGTTTCTGAACCTGCTCTGCCAGGGCGACTAAAAACTCGCGGCACTTTTCACGAACAATCACACCTTGTGCATCTGAAACCTTCCCCTCCTCTATATGATACGTATGTCCGAGGAACACTGCTCGGGCTGGAATGAGGTTCGCACGTATATCAAGTCCTGGCAGCTGGTCAGCAGATGTACCTTTCAGTGTTGCCGGCATCACAATTTGTTGGAGCAAGTCCTGCACAAATGACTGCAAGTCTTTGTGAATTACACAAGGATCGGGGTTTACGCTCTGAAACACTCTGTTCAGACGGTCGATAGCCTTCAGCTGTGACGACATGAAGGTCAGGTAAAGATGGTTTTGCGGGTCGTTGTACATGTTATACAACACCTCTGCCTGATAGCACCTATCCCGGTCTTTCGCGAGTTGAAATATCATTTTCAACTCGTGGTACTGATCCAAAATGGTGCTCACCGCTTTCCCACGACTTAGCCACCTTGTCTCTGCCACCTTAGGGATTTTGATGTTGTTCTCTCCGGGATTGAGAGTCTTAAAGACTTGTTCGTACTCCCTTTGACGTTTTGGGCTTAGAGCGAACCAATTGTGCGTCTCTCGAATGAGATAGTCCAGATGCCGGGGAAGCACGGCACACGCATGACTAGCTGCCAAGTTCAGAGAGTGACACAAACATCGGACTACCATGAGGTGAGGGACCTTATCCTTCAACAGAGTACTGACAGAATGATGCCGACCTACCATACTACTCGCCCCATCAACACCGATCCCAACGAGCCTATGCACTGGGAGACCGTCCTTCTCGAGTGCGTCGAGCACCGCCTGCGTGATGGCATCCGCCGTCACCGACTCCAGTTTAATCAGGCGATACAGGGTGGTTATCACGCGCTTATGACGCCTGCTAAAATAGCGGACCATCACACCCAAACACTGGCAATCCGAAACATCTGTAGACTCATCTATAACCAGGCTGAAGAAGGATCCCTTCATGTCTTGAAGGAGTTCATCGTGAAGGACCGGTCCCAGGATGTGCTTGATGATGCCGGAACACTTAGTGCGATGAAGGCGTAGGTCCTTCAGGATCGCGGATTTGGGGTCCACACGTTTCGACAGGACCTCACCTTAGCAAAGGACGGGGAATAAGGATATGTCAGCGGGAGAAATGAGTGATGCTGAACAGTTGGGAGGAGGGAGAGAATGTTATATTATAAAACATTTGAACCTTGCGTTTTTGAAAACACAACTGTACTCCAAATCACCCATAGCCACTCATATTACCAAATGAACGTATGCATTTTTATGACCGGTTTATGCACATATAGGTAGGCATCGTCGACAAATATGTAGACATATATAGGCATTGAAAAATCAAGGTGGCTAAGGAATTATCTTCTATGAGCTGTTTTTATTATTGAAATCTTACGAGAATGCGTCAAAACTGACATGGGAAAATATCATACGTACGAACAGAAGAAACGCATTTTAACCCTACTCCATTTACATTAAATCAGACTTGAAATGACAGGAAAGGAATCAGGAAGATTCCATTACTCCGGAGCTAGATTGAGAGGCAAAATAACCACGATTTTACCTAACTCATATTAATCCGACATGCAACGTCAAATAAATTGAACTCACGGTAAATTTTGCGAAAAATTAAGTAGGTATAGTCTGATTTTTTAAGCCTGAATATCCATTTAAAGTACCAAAATCAAATTATCACGCGCTGTCGGCTATATTTAACATTGGCGCTGTTATTAAAAAGTCAAGAAATTAGTCAATTTTGGTACTTCGAGCGCAGATGACGATGGTCAGGCTGAAAAGATCAGGGTATAGTAACTAATACCTGGCACGGATCCAGACTCACCGAGATGGTCCACCGATGCGTTCGATCCATGCTCAGCAATGTGTAGAGCCAAATGCAGCTCCGCCCGTTTCACCGACTCCACATGGCTTGACGTGGCAGCTGGGAAACACTGATTTATTCTGGCTGACTTAACACCCACAGCGCTTTTCTTGTGCTTTGCAGACTTAGCATGGTCTTCGAGATCTTTGTGCTTCGCCATGTGCGTCGATCCACACCATTTGCACCGCGCACGAGAGCTGTCGCCCTCAACTGGTGCCAACCAACCGCGGAGAGCAGGCTCTTTCTCCCAATCCGATTTGTACCGTTGTGTGTACTGGTGTTTTCCCATGCTTGAAAATGATCACAATTCGGTAGGTACAAATAAAAATAAGGCAAATTACTCGCAACACGACATCTCACATCACATCACAACCGGAAAGAAGGAATTTGTAAAGTGTAAACAAAACGATTCAAATCGTCAAAACAAGCAGAAACAATATTCAAGAATTCCTAAGATAAATAAGTAAAACACAATGATAAAGGCAAATAGGTTGTTGTGAATGATTATGAACACTTTTTTGTGTGTGTAATTTATTATATGTAAACATTATTCAGGATCATGCAATTTTCCCCTTTTTTTAAAGTGTCATTTTATTGGTAACATAAATCCTCCAGATTTTCCTCCAGAAAGTGAAATCCTCCAGATTGAAAATTCACCCTCGGAGTCACGCTCTAAATCCTCCAGATTTGCGGAAATCCTCCGAATCTGGCAGCACTGGTCTTGAGTTTTGTCCATCCTAGTTCCCGTCTGAGTCCGTCCGTTGGTGTCCGTAGGTCTGTACCAGTCACTAGTCTCGCTACCCTGTTTTGCGTTCTTTTAAGTCTGATTTCGTCGGTGACTGTTATTTGTACGTCGTATACAGGGTGTCCCAAAAGTAAGGTCATCATTTGTTTTGGCCACACCGCCAAAAATACGCGATGGATAGATATAAATATGACATCATATGAAAGAGCATTTTATAAAATTTTATTCTGATATACATATGAGTCAATACATTGGCTCGTAGCCCCACATTTGCTGCTTTTCTACATGGCTACCATTTCGGGCCGCGTGCACGAATAGACTGCGTTTTACTTCCTCGACTATTCTGGAGCGATTCTCTGGTGAGATGCCGCTTATGTTTGCTCGGAGGGATCATCCTTTAGTTCTTCCCGGCTCGTTGGGTTGTCCTAAAAGACAACCTTTCTGTTGTGTATCCAGAGAATAAAAATATGAAGGTGTAACGTCAGGTGACCGCGGAGGCCATTCAATGGCGTTGCCCTGACTGAAAATTACGGGATCTCACATCCACTCTCGGAGACAATGCATGATCTTCAGGACGGTGCAAGCATAGTCTCCATCCTGCTGAAACCACTGCTGGTTGATGGTGTCGGCACAGCTGCGTTGCGACGAGCGGAAGAACCACTGGGAGGACTCTCGGCCACCTCTCTTGATTTATTGTCACCCGATTCCCGCTGTCGTCCTCAGGACCTCGAAGCACAGGTGGCTAAGTATACATGCCCTGTGCGTACATTATACCTTTTTTCTGACGTTTTACCGGTTGAGGCGAAACTATGCATGAGTTCAGAGATAGGGCGAGCTGATAGGGTCTGCTTAGGGCCGAAAACTGGGCGGTATTTACCCCACACACCCGGTCAGCGGCGCAGGCCACCACAGCGGTGGTGGCCTTCCGAGGGAAAGCTGGCCCCTAGGAAGGATAGTGCAAATCTTTCCTAGCGCTGATAGATTAGTGAGGAAGGCCTTGGTAAGAACGCTGCAGCACTTCAACATATCTGGGGCCCATCCACAACATGGTGCTAGTTCACTCGGACTCTGATCTAGACTGGTAAGTTTAGCGAGGGTGAGCAGAGAGATTAGTGTTTAGGTCAGGTTGGCCACATGTGTGCTGTCATTTTCGTATGGGGAGAGTCTGTTTTTTTTCTGTGCTCTCTGTTTCCCTGATCCCGAGTGACTGCGAACATTGAGGCTAAGTGTTGTAGTACCCTTTCGGATGGCGCTCTCGGTTTAAACCGTTCTTTTGTGTGTTTCGCACGGGCTTATTTCCTTGGTTTAACCTCTGTGATGCGCCACGTTTGTAAGATTGGATTTGCATGTGCAGGTTGTGCCGACATTAGGCGCCCTGCTCAGCGTGGCGCCCTGTTCATCTTGGTGGCGCCCTGTTCGTCTTCGTGGCGCCCTGTTCAGCGTGGCGCCGGCCCCGAGTGGCCCTGCTTCGGCGTGGCACCCCCGGCCTGTTGGCTCGGCTGCCGCCAGATAGATGTGTAAAGCCATTCCGATGGTAAGATTCATTTTTTCATCATATTGGAAACGAGTGTTCGCGTGCTTCTGTTCGTTTGATCTTTGGTAAATTTTCCCCTTGTAACTGTTTCGTTTATATCTGACCTGTTACATCTTGGTTTGGGTTTCTTTACAGAAACACTTATCACGCCTGTACATGCCAGGGCCTCCTCTAAGGATTTTTCACTGGGTGGGCAAAATTTTTCGCCGCTCCCCTGCCCAAGGGCAGATCCAGTCACTTGTTTTGGGGTGCAACCATTTTCACCTGCGACTGGGGGGGGGGGGGCGGGTTAAGGCCTATGTCACTTTCACAGTCAACCAACTGTGCCATTTATAGTTCATGAAAAATACCGAAACCAAACCAACTTGGGAACATGAGGGAAATATCAACTTTTTACCGAATTCGTATCCTCTCATACATTAGCCGGATTCGTAATAGTTAATACCAACAAAATACCAACAACATTAGGATCAAAATACCAAATACCAAGTTGGTATCAGTTTGGTATCGGTATACCAAAAAGTTGGTATCCGATTGACATCTCTAGTCTACATACATTTAAAATTTTAAGAAGACTGCAAATGTGCAGAGTTAAACTTACTATATGATTGCTCCTTGAACCAGAAATCGAATAGGTAGGTGATGCTCGCTGCCTCTTTTTAGGAGGCATGGCCAGCTTACTCTTGGCGCGTCCTCTTGATCTAAATACGGCTTTTATTTATTTATTTATTTATTTATTTATTTATTTATTTATTTATTCGATGTCATGGAACAACAGGCGAATTGACGCCCAGTAACAGTCCATAGCAGTTATACGTTCGGAGCAGTGTAAACATTGCCTTTAGTTTTTCGTCTCTTACACATACAATCCCTCGATATACCAACCATATCTATCACACAGTCCATACAGTACATGCATAACACAATAAATACAGTCACGCGGTTCACACCAGGGACCGATTCGCGTTGGCGCACTAAGGCCCGAGTGACACTTGATTTCAAGCGTCACTATGCGATTTCGGTTCGCGCTGAGCCACTAGCCGATTGGTGTAAAATACCGCTTAGTGTCACTACATTCAAGTGTCACTTGGCCGCCTAGTCTTACTAGCTTCCTAGTGCGCCATCTCGAATCGGCCCCAGGACTCACATGTTTTGTATATGTCGTCTTACTTTAGCCCGAACATCCCGCATTGAGTCGTGAAACAAATCCAAATCTGTTATCTCGAACATAAATTCATTTATGATAGTGGGTGCCCTAACAAAAAGCGAACCTTTCATAGTGTCCTTATTGACCTTAATCTACTTATATACATCCTTGGCCTTGTAGCGCGCTACCCTGCTGGCCCATGCCGGTCTTTGAGGGTCCCACACTGACCTCTGAGGCCCCATGCTGGCCTGTAAAGGCCCATATTAGCCTCTGAGGGCCCCGCACTGGATTCTGAAGACCCGATGCCGGCCTTTAACCATCCCCTGTATTGGTGTTTTTCCAGCCGCGAACGCAGGTACTCGTATAGGGGGGGGGGGGGCGTTGGACCTCCCTTGCCGTTTCGCCCCTGATCGAGCTAGAGCTTCGCGGAAAAAAAAAACAAGCGTGTTGCCCGTGACGAGAGGAAGCCGATGATACCCAATTTTAACCCTCGCTGTCACAGGCCATTGCGTCCTTCGGCGGCACGACCCCCCCCCCCCTCGCGTTTGGCCCCTAGGGGCCAAACGCGAGGGGGGGTTGTGCTTGATCAGCTGATCAAGCTAGAGCTTCACGGAAAAAACGAGCGTGTTGCCCGTTACGAGAGAAAGCCGATGATACCCAATTTTAAGGTCCTAGGTCATCGGGTGACCTTCCAGGTCAGGTCAATGACCCGAAAACCGGGAAAATCGGGACCTGTTAGAAAGTCGTAAAGTGTGGCTGCTATGTGGTTTTCCGGGGTGCTGATCACGAATATCGTGTTAGTTTTGATCAGAGATGATGTTTTAAGCATTTAGACCAGGTCGGGTCAGGTCAGGTCAGGTCAACCGGTAGGGGTTGTGACGGGTATTCGTATTACGTGTCAACCGCCTCTGACAGCTTCGTAACATGTTACGAAGGCACCAAAACTACTTCGTAAATGTTCAAATGGTTGCTAAATTCGAATTCAGCTAAAAAACTAGCCTAGAACATGAAAAAACTCGAAAAAGTGAACCGAGGCCACCCGAGGTCACCAAAGGTCAATGACGTGACCTGACCTTCAGGTGACCTTGACACCCACCCTTATGTATGGGAGCAACATCAAATCACATGTTTGAACGTTTGAAATCACGAAAAGCTTGCAAACGCGCGGCTAATGCGAGCCGACATACGCCGAATCGCGATTTCGGCCAAACATGATCACGGAAAAGAGGTCACAGGTCGCGAGTTATTCGCAAAAAATCGAGGGGGTCCTTTCGACTCCCCCCTATACGGGCGAGGGTTACCCCCGAGTTGCTGGGGGGGCGTTAAACGCCCCCACTTTTTTCGCTGGGCCATAGCAAAAAAAAAAAAAAACGGCGCGCCGCAGGCACGCCAAATTTTGGGTGCCTCTAGGGAATTATTTGACGTTTATTGTGACAAAATTTCAAAAAAATCGGCCGGAAAATTTTTGAGATGTCGAGGTTTCAGTGACGTCATGATTTCTTGGTTTTCGACCAAAAACGTTATATTTTCAAAAAATCATATAAAATCACAGAATAGACATACAGACATGCCGTAAACGCCATTAGACTGCCAATACCATGAACAATCAAATGGCTATCTTCGATTATTGATTATCGTTCCGCATTTTCCAAAATCTTGAACTGAATCTTGGCAATTTCTCATGACTACTTCACGACCATTATACATGCATTTCTTAATTTGAACTTTTTGACCCAAACACGTACACATATGATAAAATGAATGTCACCATCGTGTTCTACGCCCCAAATTACCCATAAAACATGTGTCACAGGCTGCGAATATCAGTTTTGATTTTCGGGGATATGTGTCTACCCGGTTGACCTGACCTTGACCCTGACCTATGCTTGACTGACCCCTACATGGAGCTGACACTCTTGTAGGCCTTATATGATGGATTGTGCACCGTTTTGACAGAGTTTATGACGGGAGGCGCCCATTGTGAAGTCCTGAAGTCCATGCTACTGAAAGTCCGATTTCAGGTGTTTGACCTGACCTTGACCCGACCTGTGACCTCAAAATTCAACTTTAAAGTATTCATCTGAAGCGTCTCGTCGCGTTCTTTCGTTTGCCGCCTCGTGCGTTTCGCTGCGCCTATTGGTTCTCGAGTTATCGGCTGGGGGCGTTTAACGCCCCCCCCCCCCCCAGCAAACGGTGGGTGGCGAAATACCCCAGCAAGTGCCGGGTTAAGGACCTGCATCGGCTCTGAGGGCTCAACTTGGCCTTTTCTGGACTCTGGGGTCCAACACCAGCCCAAGCCTGTCTTTTAGGGTGCCACACTGACCCCTGAGGGTCCCATCCTTGCCTCAAGGACCCGCATTAGCCTTTGAGAGCCTAAGTCGGCCTCTGATGGCCTCAAACTGCCATTTTCAGGCCCTGTACTGGTCTCTGAGGGCCTTAAACTGGCCTCTGAGGGCACAAACCGACCTCTAAAGGTCCCACACCGGTTGCTGATGGCCCATTTTCTGCCTCTGAGATCCAAGACTGACCCTTTTGTGCCTCTGAGGGCCCCGTACTGGCTTCTGAAGGATCGATGCCGGTCTCTGAGGACCAACGTCAGTCTTATAAGGGCCTCACACTGATATCTGAGGCCCACATTTGCCTCTGATGGCTCCAAATTGAGGTCCTTTTTAGTCCCCAATCAGCCTATAAGGTCTCTGATGGCCCTATTTTGTTGTCTGGCTGGGGACCCATGGCTTACACCTTTAGGCGTCACGCACTGGCCTCTGAGAGCCCACATCGGCCTCTGGGGTTCCATACGGGCCTTTGAGGCCGCTATGGCCATGGGCCCCTGTAAGCTAGCACCGCCCCCCCCCTCCGAGGGTTGGCAAAGTTGCCAAGTTGCCCCCACCCCCAAACGCCAAGTCCGCTACCGCCCCTGCATTTATATTATAGATGCATCCATTGTAAAAAATAACTTGCACTGCAGTGATTGGGGGCTGGGGCACTGGCTGCTAGCAAGTTTTTTTCCCCCGGGAAACCGAAGTGGTAGTTCCTACCGGACGTCTGGCCGGACCTTTATTTTTGCATTTGCTTCTGGGTGGGCAAATCGACGCCACTGGGTGGGCAATTGTGGTGACTGGGTAGGCATTTGCCCACCCAGTGGGTATGTTAGAGGAGGCCCTGGTACATGCTCCAATCTTGGTGCCTTGGGGAGTAATACAAGGTGGTTTCGTGTCATCATCGTCTGGTCTTCTTGGCTGCGGCGGCGGCAGCTACAGCAGCCATTACAAAACAGCTGAAGCTACAGCAGATGTCGGCACACTGTGAGGCCACGCGCAGGCTTAAGGCACGTAGCACATTGGGTCTCACGTAGCCACAGCTGCACCACAGTGAGTCACACCGCGACGGAATGTGCTGACCTTTGCAACAGCCTGCGGCACAGACATAGTTCCAGACGTCTCCGCCACGGACAGAAGGCGCTGCTTTACCAGCACGTCCAGCGCAGGATGGGTGGAGCAAGATTGACGTCACAGGGGCGTCGCCGGCAGACGAAACGGAATGAAACAAAAGTTTGAATAAAATGAGATTGAAGAATCAAAATTAAAACTAAAAAATCACAAACCTTTCGGGGATTGTTTGATACCAGCGATTACTAAAATGATAAAGCACTCAACACGAAGACGATTCGACGGCCAAAAATTGCAGGCACAGAGGAGCAAGGTGACTAAACAGGACAGAGGGCGCCATCTTACGGACCCACCCATGGGTGGGTCCATGGCTGCTGTAGCTGCCGCCGCCGCAACCAAGAAGACCAGACGATGATGACACGAAACCAACTTGTATTACTCCCCAAGGCACCAAGATTGGAGCATGTACAGGCGTGATAAGTGTTTCTGTAAAGAAACCCAAACCAAGATGTAACAGGTCAGATATAAACGAAACAGTTACAAGGGGAAAATTTACCAAAGATCAAACGAACAGAAGCACGCGAACACTCGTTTCCAATATGATGAAAAAAGGAATCTTACCATCGGAATGGCTTTACACATCTATCTGGCGGCAGCCGAGCCAACAGGCCGGGGGTGCCACGCCGAAGCAGGGCCACTCGGGGCCGGCGCCACGCTGAACAGGGCGCCACGAAGACGAACAGGGCGCCACCAAGATGAACAGGGCGCCACGCTGAGCAGGGCGCCTAATGTCGGCACAACCTGCACATGCAAATCCAATCTTACAAACGTGGCGCATCACAGAGGTTAAACCAAGGAAATAAGCCCGTGCGAAACACACAAAAGAACGGTTTAACCCTCGCACGACCAGGCCATTTCTCATAACACGAACGACCAGGGGGGGGTTGTTACGACCCCCCCCCTGGCGTTTCGAAACGGAAGGTCGTAGAGCTTAGCGGAAAAAACCAACGGATTGCTCTCAACGAGATCTCGCGATTGGTGGTATATTTTTTGGTCCTAGGTCAACATTTGACCTACTTTTGACCGGTCAAAGGTCAAATTTTCGGAAAAATAGATTTTTCCAAATTTTTCGCGGCGATTGCGGCAAAACGGTAGGAGATATCGACTTGAAACCTTCACTATCGTGTTCCTTGATCAATTCTCTATCGTTTGGTATGTATTTCGTTTCCCTAGCTCTAAAAATGGCGCGTTGGGAGCGCCGGAAGTCGGCAAGGTCACAGTCGGCGGCAGAAATTCGAAAAATCAAAATTTAAATTTTTGAAATCTGATTGTATTTTTGGATTTGGGATGTCCATTTGCTCCCTATAGGAGCTAATATTGCTGCATATTCCCATTGAGGTGACAAGAATTAGCAAAATAGTGGTTCGGGCGCTTTTCAAAAATAGTACCGGACGGTGTTCCTCTTGTGACGTCATAGCTCCGTGACCTGACCTGACCCGGTCAAGTTTCTTATACCATATGATAGCCAATACTTGCCCCAACATGCATGGGAAGTTTCATCACGATCCATCAACCGATGTCCGTACCACCGGCAGGAAACCTCGGGCGTTGGCACTCAGTTTGTGAAAATCCGGCCGGAGGCTGTTCCCTTTGTGACGTCATAACTCCGTGACCTGACATGACCCGGTCAAATTTTTTTGATCAAAAGATGCGCAAGGTTTGCCCCATAAGGTACCCAAAATTTGGCGGCGCTGCGCGCCGCCGTTTTTCCACTATTTCCGAAAAACCTCAGGGGGGGGGTTGATACAACCCCCCCCCTAGGCGTTCTAGGGTTAAACCGAGAGCGCCATCCGAAAGGGTACTACAACACTTAGCCTCAATGTTCGCAGTCACTCGGGATCAAGGAAACAGAGAGCACAGAAAAAACTCGCTAAACTTACCGGTCTAGATCAGAGTCCGAGTGAACTAGCACCATGTTGTGGATGGGCCCCAGATATGTTGAAGTGCTGCAGCGTTCTTACCAAGGCCTTCCTCACTAATCTATCAGCGCTAGGAAAGACGTTACGGTCCAAACTCCATAGACAAGCGGACATACGGTTTTACAAGAGTTAGGCGACGAAATACTCAGCTTAATTATTAAGTAATGGGCACCATTAGGTAGGCCATACAATTTTCTGTAGTACCGCATAGTCGCTGCAGTCAAAGGTGTTCTGGTTTTTATGCTATATGCCAAAGAATTTTTGCGTGTAATCACCGGTGACACGACATATTTCTGCTTTATTGGGTTGGGCGGTGAAGTCGATGACGTGATCACAATGAAAATGGCTTAGTTTTGTAGAACATTGAATTCTGATTCCGGCACGACTCTCGCTAGTCCATTTTTTATTATAAATAAACCATTAATTGCGGTACAAAGTCAAAACTAGCCCGAAACGGCGCCCGCAGCGGCCGTTAGCACAGCGGCCTTATGGTAAACAGGTTAGTTCACATTCCCGCCGCTATGCGAGTGGCGGCGGCGCCACCTGTCCTCATGTCCGCCTTGGACCGTAACGACTTGCACTATCCTTCCTAGGGGCCAGCTTTCCCTCGGAAGGCCACCACCGCTGTGGTGGCCTGCGCCGCTGACCGGGTGTGTGGGCCGCTGTGGTGGCCTGCGCCGCTGACTGGGTGTGTGGGCCGCTGTGGTGGCCTGCGCCGCTGACTGGGTGTGTGGGCCGCTGTGGTGGCCTGCGCCGCTGACTGGGTGTGTGGGCCTGTGTGGGCCGCTGTGGTGGCCTGCGCCGCTGACTGGGTGTGTGGGCCGCTGTGGTGGCCTGCGCCGCTGACTGGGTGTGTGGGCCGCTGTGGTGGCCTGCGCCGCTGACTGGGTGTGTGGGCCGCTGTGGTGGCCTGCGCCGCTGACTGGGTGTGTGGGCCGCTGTGGTGGCCTGCGCCGCTGACTGGGTGTGTGGGCCTGTGTGGGCCGCTGTGGTGGCCTGCGCCGCTGACTGGGTGTGTGGGCCTGTGTGGGCCGCTGTGGTGGCCTGCGCCGCTGACTGGGTGTGTGGGCCTGTGTGGGCCGCTGTGGTGGCCTGCGCCGCTGACTGGGTGTGTGGGCCTGTGTGGGCCGCTGTGGTGGCCTGCGCCGCTGACCGGGTGTGTGGGCCGCTGTGGTGGCCTGCGCCGCTGACCGGGTGTGTGGGCCGCTGTGGTGGCCTGCGCCGCTGACTGGGTGTGTGGGCCTGTGTGGGCCGCTGTGGTGGCCTGCGCCGCTGACTGGGTGTGTGGGCCTGTGTGGGCCGCTGTGGTGGCCTGCGCCGCTGACCGGGTGTGTGGGCCGCTGTGGTGGCCTGCGCCGCTGACTGGGTGTGTGGGCCTGTGTGGGCCGCTGTGGTGGCCTGCGCCGCTGACTGGGTGTGTGGGCCGGCAGTGGCGCCGTTCGAGTACCGGGACGACAACACAGTGCAACTGGTGTCCCTGTCCGGACTGGGCGCCGCCGCCGTCTGCGGCAGCGCCGGACTCGGATTCTGCCTCTCACTGCTCTTCTTCATGGACCAGAACATCTCTAGCGCCATGGTCAACAACCCCAGCAACAAGTAGGTCCATCTCCGGCGATAACCAGAGCAGCGTGTGAGCCGACCAGGTGCTGGTGGAACCAGCATCGAATGCAAACGTCGTCTGAGTGTTTCCATATATATTGGAGCGGCCATAGTACAGCACGTGACTGGCCATTGTTTGAGTCATTGGGAATAACTTCTGCGACAATCAGTCTACGTATAGTCTCTCTTGAAAGCATCGCGACTCGGAGGGGAGTGCGCTACCTGTCCCAGCCGCGGTTAAGCGGAAAGGTTTGAGAGCCGCTGGTAGCACTGACCGAAGTCTGACACGCGGAGGCAGCCAGCGCGGCGGGGCGAGGGGAGTGGTTGAGGACTGCGGAGGGATAGGGGGGAGGTCAGTCGCCGTCCGGTCAACGGAAGCCACCCTACTTGCACAGGACTTGTTGATATTTGTTTCATTGGAAAGTTAGCAGTTAGGTCCGTTATCGGCTCGACTGACACAGGTTTTTGGTTAAATCCGGAAACCCTTTGCCGAATACGAAAAAAAATCATCAGTTGCGCCCACTAACAGAACATCCGTGGCGACTGCGTGGTCGGCGTACCCGTGCGTGCGAATGGAGCTGCCGTTGGCGGCGGTCAGGCGGGGCGCGGCGGCCGCGTCCAAGCTGCAGCCCGGTAGGAGCTCGCTCGGAGGCAGGACACTGATCTGCGCTCCAGTGTCCACCATCATGGTGAGCTGACTGGTCGTCACGTGCAGGAGCGGCGCCGGCGATGCCCGGCCCGGGGACGGTGCCGATGTCCCTAGGCCGTCTCGTTTAACGGCGACCAGGAGCACGGCTCGCCGCAGTTCTTGGCTGCTGCACCGAAACGGCGCTGATAGAAGCACAGTTGCTTCTGTTGCTGTTGCTGTGGCTGTTGCAGCTGCTGCGGCTGCTGCCGTCGACCGCGAGAGCGGGACCGGCGGCGGTACCGGTCGGAGACTGCGCCTCCGTCACGGTCCCGGGAGGCGGCGTGGGAGGGGTCGCCGAGCGCCATTTCTAGTCGCTGAACTGCGGCCGTCAGCGATGCCACCGTGCTGTGCAGGGTTGGCACGTCTCCAGCAGTAGCGGAGGCCGTCGAGCCGGTGAGTTGCATTGCCGCGAGCTCGTGAGAGCCGGTCGCCTCCAGGTATCGGTGGGCCGCGGTGGCGAGCTGGCTCAGAGAGGTGTCCTCCGGGAGGAGCGACAGGGCAGCCGTGGCCGCCCGCGGCAGGCGCTGCAGAAACAGCGTGCGGAGTAGCTCACTGTCTCGAGCCTCCTCGCCCAGCTCCGAGCGCATGCGAAGGAGCAGCTGCGTCGGCTTCTGATCTCCCAGCTGGGTGATTAGCTGGGAGATCAGAAGTTACAACCCCCTCGCCGTCCGCGTTATGAAAAAGGCTTCGTCAGGCGAGGGTTACTAATGAGTAATGACTTGATTATTAATTCGTATATGATGTAAGATAAAAACACCAAAACCACCCAACGTTTCGTGTTATTCACTTCCCTTCTTAGATACGCTATTGATCAGAACGGGAGACTCACTTAAGTTCACTGTTTACCGAAAGCCAACAAACAAGGACGACCTTATACACTACTTTTCAGGGCACAACGGTGAAATTTCAATTTTGGTCTTACTGGATCTTTCAAAATGTTTTGATGTCGTGTCTCACCAAAAACTCCTGCAAAAACTTAGCCTATACGGTATCGACACCGACTGGTTCGCTAACTATTTGGCTGGGCATGTGCAACAGGTCAGAGTCCGCGCCGCTGACGGCTCCAGTATCACCTCCCGACCGAGAGAAAACACCATTGGTGTTTTCCAGGGAGGTAGTCTCAGTTGTGCCTTGTACATGCTTTTTGCTAACGATCTCAGTCTGCACATGCCCGACGGAGTCACCATAGTACAGTTTGCAGATGACACTCAAATTTTGGTCACTGGAAAGAAACGGGATTTGGATTGTATCATTTCACGCACTGAGGCCGCACTCGACGCCGCCTACCGATGGTTTTGCCACAATGGCATGAAAGTTAACGCCGCCAAAACACAGATGCTGGTGTTGGGCACACCAGCAATGTTGCGTGGACTCCCGCCCGTCACTGTCAACTTTTGTGGTTCAACTGTAGTCGATGCAGGGACGGTGAAGAACCTCGGACTTTATCTCGACCGCCATCTGAACTATCAAGCTCACATCACCGCCATGGCATCAAAATGCACAGGAATTTTAATCGCTCTCAGTCATGCCCGCCACGTGATGCCAGCAAACACACGTAAGGTAGTTGTTCAAGCCCTAGTCATATCGATCGTGCGGTATTGTATAAGCGTGTATGGGTCGTGCGGTGTGACCCAGATGGCTCGTGTCCAGAAAATTCTCAATTTCTGTGCCAGAGTCGTCAGTGGCCGTAGACGCAGCGACCACATCTCTGACGTCATACAGCAGCTCGGCTGGCTGCGGGCAGACGAATTAGCCGAGTACCACACTATCTGCGCAGTCCACCGAGCCATCACATCGGGTACTCCTGAACATATCAGTGATACCATCGGTCCTGTAGCCCGCGACATACACGACCACAACACCCGAAACGCAGGGCTGATAACACAGCCACGGGCCCGAACAGAGACGGGGAGACGTCGACTATGTATTAGAGGAGTCGCGATGTTAAACGGTACCGAGTTGAGCCCGTATATACCAGCGTTTCGCGCCAATGTGAAGCGTGTGATCATGTCGAGACGCCGAGTAGCTGTCTGAACCTGTTCCAGTCGCACGCTTGTTTGTGTTTGCCAGTGATATCTATGCCTACTCGTACTGTCTATATGTTCCCCGTTTTATCTGGTTTTACGTGTCTGGTGAAAAGCCACTTTTATTGTGGATCCTAGATGAATACACATCTGTATCTGTATCTGTATCTGCACAGTCAGAGAGTTAAATCCGGGGTCGTTATTGGTTTCTTTTTGCGCGCCTTCAGAATATGTTCCGTAGACTTTTTACGTGACGAGATCGATTATGTGGTTCAAACGTTCATGAAACTTAAATTCCTTGGAGGTAAGCTATGGCAATTCTGAGCATGATTAATAATGTAAATAGAGTGAATAACCTTATGCTCATGTTATATGTTGCAAATTGATATAATTGAAACTAAATTGATATATTTCGATATTGCACCGTCATCATTCTTATTCTGATGACGGTGCAATATCGAAATATATCAATTTAGTTTCAATTATATCAATTTGCAACATATAACATGAGCATAAGGTTATTCACTCTATTTACAACTTAAATTCCCTTTAATCATGCTTTTATCTCTGAGAGACTAGGCAAAGAAGATATGGTCCCCATCTGTCACCTCAGATAACCAGCCCTCAGCTGTAGCTGATCAGCCTGTGGCAGAAACCAAAGCAATGATAATAGCTCTGCATTCTCCTTTGAATGAAACGGTTCAGAAACTGATAGGTCCTGCGCTGGGCATAGTCTCTGTAGGGGGGCAGAAGATAGGTGGGATAATGCGTGAAGAAAGGAAACAGTCTCGCAACAGAGACAGCGTAGTTTACAAAATTCCATGTGGTGGGTGCCCGCGGGTGTACTACGGGGAAACTGGTAGGGGTCTCAAAACACGGGTCCGTGAACACAGGGGGGATTTACGTAATCACAGACTTTCTAATGCATTTGTTATTCACGCTGAGAAAGAAGGGCATTTACCTGATTGGACGCGGGCTGGACATGTGGATCAAAACTTTTCTAAAACCCAACGGAGAATTATAGAAGCGGCGTTTATTGCGAAAGGTGATGTTTTGAACACTTCGAGTAGATTCTTCAGACTAGCTTCGGTGTCTGCTCTGTTGGCTAGGAAAGACGTTAATTTGTAGTATGTGTGTATGTATGTGTCAATATGTCATGCAAGGCAGAGGAAATTTGTGAAAAAGTGCCCGCGCTATATTCGAATGAAACCGAAAAAACGTACTTGACTCTGTAGGTAAAATGTGTCATATCACCCTTGAAAAAGTGAATAACACGAAACGTTGGGTGGTTTTGGTGTTTTTATCTTACATCATATACGAATTAATTTGTCCAATTCAAATAATCGACTTGATTATTACTTTCGCCCAAAAAGTTTGATAGCATTGTGTGCGTTGACCAATTAGATGATTGGAACATACATTTTATTCAGATTATAAGCATTCGTTGTCCATTATTTCTAACGTTTTAAAGGGCGCCGGGCCTTCATTAGTGGCGCTACATTATGTGGTTTACTGGCAAATATCTAGAAAAGTAGCAGGGAAAAGCAAAACAGCACTCACAGGAAATGAAAGACGAGTAATCGGAGCCTAGCATAGAATGCTCATTTTTATTGACTCGAAATAACGTTTTCATGAAAGTCTTATAGAAAAGTTAGTTATCATTTATATTTACGGCTTGCAGTTGCTTGCCAAACAGCCAGCTTATCTTGCAGAAAAGCGATGCAATGTGTAAGAATGTTGTTGGCACAACGAATAACAGCACAATGAACAATACTGAGATAACACTGCAAGCTGCTGCTGTGTATGTGCAGTACAGTTGATCAATTGTGTTCACGTACAATGCAATTGAATGGGGAGATGCATATGTACAATTCAAGGTACATATGCATCTCTTACTGTTCCACATAATGCACTTACACAATTACACACCTTACCAGCATAATGCAGCACTGCTGTGACAATGCTGCATAGGTTGCAGCAACACCAATAATATCTCAAATTGTGTTGAAGATTTCCCCCCTCCCCCCGGGTGGCTGGCGGATTGCTCGGCTGCTCATGGCTGAATCATGGATGAGGTAGTGTGGCCTGGACTGAGTGTGAGTGGTTAGCCTCCAGGCTTTGTGTGAGTGTGCGCCTTGCCTGGAAACAGGCTGTTTTATATGTGTGTATGCCCTTCCCATGCCTGGAGACAGGCAGTTTTATCTGTATATATGTGATCCCTGTTTGGAGACAGGATGTTTTAATGAGTGAATGAGCATGGCAACATGCCTCAATCCAGCAAACGG